AATATGTTCTTGATACCTAAACCAGAAAGAGAAAAATCAGAGAAAGAAAACTAAAGACCAATGGCTAATGAATATTTGCACAAATATTTTAAAAGCAGCAACATCAACAAGTAAAAAAAATTATACATTATGACCATGTAAGATTAATACATCAGGAATGCAAAGCTGTTCAATATTAGGAAAACTATTAACTTAATAGACCATATTAAGTAACAATCAAAATTACATATGAATAGATGCAGAAAAAGCTTGACAAAATACAATCCCTATTTCTTTTAAAAACACTAAATAGCGTAGGGATAAATGGAACTTTCCCTATTATGACAAGTAGCATCTATCGAACACCAAGACCAGGCTGGCTTTCTATATGATGGAAATAAACTAGAGGCCTTTCCAGTAAGATCAGAGGTAAGATAAGGAGGTCTTTTATCACCTTACTCTTTAAACATGACCACTACTAGAGATGTTGGTAATAGCAATGAGACAAGAAAAAGGAACTAGAGAATAAGCACAGGCAAAAAGTAAATAAAATTAGCACTTCTGCAAATGATGAGACGGTCTACATAAAGAATCCTACAGTCAACTAAAAAATTAATTAAAACAACTGGTAACTTCCACAAAGTAGCAAGATACAAAATAACCCCCTACAAGTCCACCAGCTTTTCTGTATGCTACCAACAAAACCAAGCATGAAGAGACATAAAAAACACTCCACTCACAACAACAAAATAAATTTATGCATGTACCTGCCACATGATACATAAGAACTACAGGAATACAACTACAAAACATTCTTCACAGAAACTAAAACAGATAATATTATCTTGTGATAAAATTACCTATATTAATTTACTTATTTAGTGCTATACCAGTCAAAACTTTTAAAGTACACTAGAAAGGTAGAAAACAACAATAATGAAGCTTGTTTTAAAGAATAAGATTAAGATTTTCAAGAGAAATAATGGGGAAAAAAACAAAAAGGAGGATAAAAGGTCTATCAGTACCAGACCTCAAACTATACTACAAAGCAATTATAATCAAAACTATTTGGTACCGGCCAAAAAATAGAAAAGTCTGTGAGTGCAACAGATTAGTTACATAATAGAGAAGCAAATGAACACAGTAACAATGCTTAATAAAGCCAGAGACTACAACTACTGGGTAAGGATTCTACTCAACAAAAAAATGCTAAGAAAACTAAAAGCGAATATGGGAGAAAATTAGGTTTGGAGTAGCACATTCTATATCATAATGAGTTCCAAAAGAACATATATGAAAGGTCACATTACAAACAAATTACAGGATCAAGGAAGAAAATACCTTTCTTCTAACTCTGAAAAAAGGAAAAGTTCGTGACCAGACAATGATTATTTTGATAACACAAAACTGAAAATTTTTTGCACAAACAAAAGCAATGCACTTAAAAATAAAAGGGAAGGAGTGAAGCACTTAGCACGTCATTCATTTCAGCAAGCAATTTATTAAGCACCTACTACTGTCAGAAACTGCTAAGTGCTTTACAAACATATCATCTCATCTGATCCTCACAAAAACCCTCTGAGGTAGATGTTACTATTATCATCATCCCCATTTTATAGTCGAGGAAACTGTGGCAAACAAAGGTTAAATGATTTGCCCAGGGTCACAGCTAGTAAGTTTCTGATGGCAAAACTGAACTTAGGTATTCCTGATTCCAGGCCCACTGCTCTATCCAAGATAAATGAGGAACTGACAAATATATAAGAACGACAATCATTCTCCCAAGAAAACTAATCAAAGGAACTGATCTGAGAGTTTTCAAATGAAGAAATCGAAGCTATCAACGGACATATAAAAAAAAAGAGGCTCCAAATCAGTAAATAATTAGAGACGTACAAATTAAAACAACTCTGAAGTTCCACTTCAACACTCATCAGATTGGGCAAAGATGACAAAAGGAAAATGACAAGGTCCCCAAAATCACCCAACTGTAAAGAGATAACATTACTAAGCCTATACCCCAAAGATATCCAAAAAAGAGGAAAAAGAACTGTATGTATAAAAATTCTTATAGCACCTTTGTTTGTTGCAACAAAGAGCTAGGAACAAAGAGGGTGCCCATCGACTGAGGAATGGCTGAACAGCTGGTCTAGAAAAGGAATGGAATTTGACTGATGAAATGACAAAAGGAATCCTGGGAACGCTTTTTTGAAGGATAAAGAGCGGAGGGAACAGAGCTGAAAGAATAATTTATACAATAACCACAACACTGTAAAGAGAAAACAATGTTGAAAGACTCTGGACCCTGACCAGGACATTCGCTAGTCAGGATGCTGCAATGGACTCAAGGTGGAGAATGTTAGGCATATGTTTTGGGACATGGTAAACATGTGGATTTGTTCTGCTTGACTCTGCTTCTTTGTTAAAAGGATCGTATATTTCTTTCAGGGTGAATGGGGGTGTTAAAAAATACTTGTATATGACAACTATGGATTTTGTGACATTGTGCAAAGAAAACTAACAAGCATAGACCGTAAGATTAGAATCTAGACCAAAAACAGAATCTATGACCCCCTCAGTTATACAAATGGTATTACTGCTTTTTCTCCAGCGCATATGGTCATTTTAAGCTAATACAGTAAAAATATCAGTATTTCCCAAATTAATATGCAGACTTAATGTGATGTTCAAGTACCACTGGCCAGAAATCAGATAAAACCTTAACAAAATTCAAAAGGAAGAACAAGGAGAGATGATGAAGAGGAGAAGCCCCGGGAAAAAGATCTGATGGAAGGAATGAAGAAATGTTTATCACACAAATGGAGCAACTAATGGAGAAAAATCTAAACTTAACATAGAGCTGAGACTACTGAAATTGTCTGACAGTAGAGTAAAAAAAACCACATAAAAGTAAATGAATGGAAGAGAACAGAGAATCCAAACACAGAATTACAAACGTATAAATATATATAAGAAAATAATATTGGATTTATCAAAGATTAAAACAACAACAACAACAAAAACCCTAGAAAAAACACATAAAAACTTGCATGTATTTGAAATACATGGGAGGAAATGGGTACAGATCTATAGTTCCTACCACATACTACACTGAACTCTACTTGGATCAATGATCTAAGAGATTTTAAAATTATTCCTAAAATAATTCAAATTTAAAAAAAAATTTTTTTAATTCCTAAAATGCAAGTATATTCATCTCATTTGTGGAAGAAAAACTGTTAATCATACAAACAGAATCAACCAACAAGGACAAAACCGATAGGTTAGATTTCTATAAAGATAAAAGGAATATATATGACAAAAAGCTATGTCTTCCCCAAAAAGAAAAGAGCAGGATAAAATATCTGTGGTAAACACATCTGATCAAAATCTGACATTCAGAATCTATAATAAGCTGGTACATACTTCTGAGAGTCACAATCATTACCCAATTAGTAAGACAGTTAAGGGTCATAACTGATAACCTTTGAAGGAGGAAGTACAGATTTTTAAAGACTACCTGAAAAATTCCTCAAAATCTCAAATTAAGAAAAATGATTTTGAAATGACTTCAAGATAGCACTTTGTTCCCAAAATGACAAAAGTAACTAAAACTTAATATCAATGAGGTTGCAGGGAAATAGACAGTTCCGCTGTTCTGTAATTGATTCTGTAGCTTTATGGAGAGCAATCTGGCAAGCTCAGGATCAAGACACAAGGTACAGCACGAAGGAGTGGATTTTGGGCTGGCTTTGGAGAAAGGAAGACTTGAGTTCAAGTCTAGCCTCTGCCTCTAACAAATACCAGCTAGGAGACCCTGGTCAAGTCCCTTAAGCTCTTGATACATCAGACAGATATGGCTCTCAGCTACCGAGGGGCTGCTGATTTGTGATGCTGAGGGGAGTTTCTAGGATAGGCATTCCCTACAAGGTTGGAATCCCAGATGCAGAATCCATAGCTCCCCAACAACTCATGCTCATCGAGCGCCATCCTCATATACAGCCCTTTTCTAGTGCACAGATCATCTCTAAAGGGTGTGCTGTCATTCCTTCCTATTGATAGATGAAGAATGTGAGGTCACGAGAAACAAGTAAAGCGACATGTTCTGTGTCACACAGTAAGCCGAGTGTCGGAGATAGACTACAGCATGAATCACAAACAAGATCTAACTTGTGCAAGAGTAATGCCATTGCTGGGACTACATTCCAGAGATAGCAATAAAATAAAAAAAAACCTGGCTGGTCTAAAAGTAGCCTTTGTTGTTTTATGATAGCAAAAACCAGAAATAATCAGTGCTTGGATAAATTAAGATATGCTAACATAACTGTGCCATAAAAAGATAATTATATACACTAAAGGCATTTTATTATTTGAAGTAATTCTGCTGTGAATCCCTCTATAACACAAATAAGTGCCCTCTCCCTCAGTTTCCCTGGCCCCCAACTGATCCATTTTGACATTTAAATGTTTGGATACTGGGCTCTTGATAAGTGAGGAACACACCTGGCTATTCTATCCACGTAGACATCTACTTTTATCCAAAATAAATAATTTAAACACTTAGCAGGTCTTAATAGTTGTACTTCACTTCTCTAAGATGTTCCGATGCATAGTCAACAAACACTTCTACATGGGTGAACTGTCACGTTACTGACAAACTGGGTGGATTTCCCATAATACATTTTTACTTCTGGCCAAGTTTTCACCTTACTTTTGGATACTTTTTGGCCACCTTCCCCTCTCTGTTATTTTTATGAAATGAGGAAGCATAAGCAGAGCAACTGAAACATTAACCAAAACAAAGGTTGATGTGGGATGTAGCATCTTGGGAAAAAAGAAACACAAAGTACACCACGGTCAGACAGAACTGATTTTGGACGAGATCCATGCCACGGTGTGGCATGGCATGGCATCCCATCATGTGCGGCCACTGCTGTACACTACAGAAATGATTAAAAGAGCTCTAGCCAGGGAAACCACTATGTGCTAGTTTAAATTATAGCTCTGAGAAATGCTCTTACCAGGTTAGGGTCGTAGTAAGCTTCCTGCGTTGGAGGGATGTTGTTTATCTGAGTGATGTTAGTAGGGAGCATTTTAGAACAATTTATTAACATGTGCTCCAGACCTGTCAAATCCTAACATAAGAAAACAAAAAGAACAAACAAGTTATAAGCATTTTAGGGACCAGTGGCATTTGGGGTTTTTTTAAAATGCTATTCAGTGGTAGAGTGAAATACCCAAAAATAGTTAAAATAATACATTTAAAGTTGACCTTGCAAAAAGGAAAACATTAAGAAACCCATTAAAAATAGAAAAAGGCATCTTGTGGAGTGCATAGAGCTAGCCTCTGAGAGGCAATTTCCTAAGACTACAAATTGCAAAGCAACTGCTGATGTGCACTGGCTGAAGAAGTGCCCCATCCCAGGGAAATCAAAGGTCTGATCTCTGGCCCCCTTCTCCCAAGCCCAAAGTAGAGGAAAGCAAAGCAAATATTTCATACAAGTCTCCAAGCATTCCTCCAAATGTATGGAATTTCACACGTGGTTGTAAAGGTGAAAGAAGAGGCTAACCTAACCTCTTCACTGGGGCCAGTGGCCCTTGTAGCCAGAACTCCATAGCTCTTCAGCTCAATTCCCTTCCCATCCCTCTCCATTCCAGGAATGAGACGAGAGGAAAGAACATTGACTCTGCAAAGGACCCGGGCTGAAATCCTGCACTGTGTGACTTTGGGCAAGTCCTTTCATCTTCCTGCCCTCAGTTTACTCATCTATAAAATGAAGATGGACTAGACAGCCTCTTAGGTCACATCCCACTTCGATGCCTGGATCCGGCCCTGCCTGGAACAGCCCAAAGCTTGAATGAGGAAAGCCACAGAGCACCAAAAGGGAAACGAAAGACCATTGTAAATGCATTTTTAGCACGGTCAGCTGCCAGGTCCTTTCCAGGGCTGTGACTCAAAAAATCTGCCCTGCTAAAGAACAAAACAGAAAAATACAAATTTTATATAATAGCCAGTCTTAACTCAGGCTATATTCTAATTTGGGTGAAAAAAAAACCTCAAAAAACAGTGGCAAGTACTTTTCCCAACAAATATGCATTACTTTTTGTTTGGGTCATAATGAAATTTTAATCTATTGGGGGAACAAAAGTAAAATCTTAAAAATCCAAGCTGTCATTTTGCAGAGTAACCACTACAATCCCTCCCAGGTCTAAAGCTATAACCTCAATGTACAAAATATTAATTTTTTTTTAAAACATTGCCCATAACTGTTCTATATTCTTTCCTTCCTAGCACCCCTCACCAAAACACACCCACCCCCAGTAGTGACATCTCTAGTTAGTACCTGCAAGCTTAAAGGCAGGTCATGAATCCTTGTAGCTAATGTCCGAATCTCCCTGTCCGACAAGATACCAGACTGGTCAGTATCGACTTCATCAAAAACTTGAGCAACGTTCAGCGGCTGAAGCGCACTCATGAGATAGTAGAAGTAAGAAAAAGCAAACTGCATGTCTTCAGAGTGGCGTACTTTGTGAACAGAAGTCTTGTCAAATTCTTCAGGAAACCTAGTCCGATACAACACAAGGAAGTCAGAGCTGCTTACATTCAGAGTATCGATGTGCCATAATACACAGCACGGGCCGGGCCACTCAAGTGTACGCAACAGCTCCAATAACGTAAAGGGAAGAAGGCACAAGCGCGCCCAACGATTCTGAAGAGCAGGGCCGGCCTGGATTACAGCTGAGAAAATCAACTTTCACTGCAGAGAAAGGGGGACTGCTGCTGTGAAGTACTGCATATGCTGTCAGACACAGGTGACATGTTGGTTGGTTTATTTAGCTCATTGGCTTTTTCTCTATCTCTCTTTTAAAATACTTATTCTATTATGGTTTACATGACTGTATATGTATAATCTATTTCAGTCTACTTACTGTCTCAGGGAGTGGCGAGAGGAGGGAAGGAAGAACAGAATTTAGAACTCAAAACTTTAAAATTGTTAAAAACTGTTTTTATGTGTAATTGGGGGGGAAACACAATATTACTTAAAATGTTTATTATAAGAGATAGCTCACTGGGTAGATGTGGGGAGGAGGGTGGAAGAGAAGGATATATTTGGAATTGATGTAACAACCAAGAGTGTCTGTTCTTTAAAAAGTAAAAAAAAAATTCATATATATGTGACTTTTGCTTTAGTTTAAATGACTAGTTCAACACATCACCAAATATTGCTGCTACAGATCCAAAATGGCGGACATTTAAGCCTAGAAAGAGGCACTTTTACTCACATATCCTGCAGTTCTTGCATAACAATGCGGTCAATCATATGGGGCATATGGGCGGGGACTTTCCGAGATGTAAATCCAAACCTGCTGTTTAGAATTTTATTTACATATCGGAGAGAATCAGCAAAGGTATCTTTTAGTTGTCTTCCAACATATTTGCTATCCGTCAAGTATGACAACTGTTTCTTTAATGATTCTTCTTCCTAAGAAATCCATAAAAATATAAAAGACTGTGAAATGAAAATGACTGAAAAGGAGAGAACTGGGTAATATTTTATAAAAAGAATTAATGATGGTCCGTGAAGGAAAAACCTAACATTCTAAGTTTAGGATAAAACAGTTTTGAGTAACATTCTAAGGCTGCCTGAACAGGAGGAACTGCAGAGTAGAGTTTTACCAAGTTCTCTGAAGGGGCTGCTCCTAGAGCAATCATATTTGCCAACGTTATTACGGACTGGCACACGTTTTGCCTTTTTGCTGATATTGAAACCCAAGTTTGTTTGTGCCCTGAAGAATACACAGTATCAGAAGTCAATTTGGGTAAGTCAAGAATTGTGTAGCTATAAAAAAGCATGGTTCTTAGTGGCTTAAATGTAGAGAAAGAAGACTTCAACATCAAGGTTTCTTGCCTTGGCAACCACAAAATGGAAGAGGCCAAACTACCCACAAATATGGCGGATGACATGGGAACCATAATCTTGCTTCGTTTTAATAAGTCAGCAATTAGAACAATTAAAAGAGCTTAAGCTTGAAATATACGACAAGGAGCGCTATAAGAATCTCGGTCCTCTTGCTAGAGGCTGCCCACCTGGGAGAAACGGTAGAATCCTAGCATGTTCGAGCCAGAAGGGACCTCAGAGGTTATTTAGTCTGCAACCCTAATTAAGCAGAAGAAACTAAGGCCTAGAAAGATCAAGCGGCTTGCTTAGGGGTGTGGAGCTGCTCAGGGACAGTGCCAGGACTCAGGTCTTCTGATCCTGTCAAGTGCTCCACCTACTTGCACTATAGTACCTCTCATTTTCTTGCTAGACAGAATCATCACCCCAATCCTGCCTTTCTCTGACATTGCTGTACATCTTCCCAATATTCTGGGAGAGGGAGGTAGCCAGGCAGTGGGGGGCAATGAACAGAGTAGTAGTTTTGGAATCAAGATGATCTGGGCTTACAACTGCCTCTAATGCACACAGGCTCCATGATCCCAAGGAACTCACTCAGCCTCTCCATGCCCCAAGACCACAAAGCTAAAAGCAGTCCCAGACGTCCCCTTGGGGGAGTTTCCTCCCTGGGAGTCACCTACAGTGAGATTCTAAGTCCCAACAAGAGAAACATGACATGGCTGAGTCCATCCACCAATAACAGTCTTCTTTCTCTCTCCTACTACGTCCCTTGCTGCCCTTCCTTCTCCTCCTCTACAGCTCCCTCCCTTCCTCTGGGAGACAGCTCAAGCTCCATCTTCTTATGAAGCGCGCCATGATGAGTGACCCCGGGTAGTATGTGTAAAATTACCATTTTTTCCTTCTAAATAAGAGATGACGTTGAACTCGACTTACCTCAAGAAGATCTTGGAAATACTTCTTTTTTTCCCAAGGCAAGAATCCTAGATAGCTCCCAGCATATTCTTGAAGTTTTCTTCCAGGCCTTACTCCGCCATTGTGTAGATCATGGTCCTCGGCATGCCCTTCGATCAGCCCCACTCCTCTGTTCTCCTTGGCTTTCTCTAAGAGCTCCTTTTCCTGGGCTGCTCGGTCTTGAGCTGGGACAACGGTCGTTCCTCTTAAGCCAACACTGACTCCAACTTTCTGAGTTGCAGAAGCAGCTTTTGCCCACTCCCGAGGTAAAGAGTGATCCTGATGCCTCCCGCCCACCTCGACTGTCCTGCCAGCACCTTCAGCTGGAAAGTTCATTGTCTTCGCGCCATCGGCATTTTCTGAGCTCTCTTTGGGGAGGCTGGTGTGATGCTCCCTACTCACGGGATCTTGCAGACTGTCTTTTTCCCTTTTTACAACTTGGTTAGCTTTTACTTCGATGACTTGAGCGCCTTTCAGAAATGGTCTCAGCAGAACAGACTTGGACAGGTTATATCCCTTCAGAGTAATATCACCACCTTCCAGCTTTACATCCAACTTCTTCAGACTCAGTTGTACTTCTTTTGGAAGTTCAGAGATATTTACAAGGGGTATTCTTATAGTTTCCTGAAAGCCATCTGCATGTTTGTTGTACTTTGGGAAGCGTTTTTCTTCCGGAATATCTTCAAATAGGATTTCGGCCTCTGGCAGAGGTGTGATGGGGCTAGCCTCACTTGCATGAGGCTTCTGGGTGGTAATATTAGGTTTTGGCTCCTCCCTAGTGTCCACTTCTACTGTGATCTGCATTTTAAACTCTTGGTTGTTTTTGTTTTGAAATGTGACATTGAAATGTATGATGGTAGCATTCATGCCACTGTGCAGTATGAGGTGGATTGTCTTCCACTTGTTGGCAACAGAGACGTGGCGGATGATTGGATTGTCACTGTAGGCACCCTCAATTCCTCTTTTGGCAATTTCAGCAAAGCTGAAATAGGGGAGGCATTCTCCCTTGGGGATAATGTAGTGAGTCTGGTTTGGGATGAGAGTCACCTTGTGTAATTCATCAAAATGATCTAGAAAAAATACCGTAACACTTGAATGTTTTGCACCGGTAGAGGGAAGTTCAGTCCTGGCAGTTCCCCAAACCAATGAAATCCACGGGCAAGCTTAAAACACTGGCCCATGTGCATGCACACTTGAGACTGACTGCCATCTCCACCAGCGCCTCTTGCAATCCTTCCTTTGTGCTTCAGCCCTCACCATCCCCAACTAGAAGGGATTCCTTTTCCAATCCCTCTCAAGAATTGTGTGTCTTTTTTTGTGACAGCCCCCTCTGATGCACTTAGAACTTTCTGATTTTTTGTGACAGCCCCCTCTGATGCACTTAGAACTTTCTGATTTGTTGTATATATGCATATGTATTTGCCGTGAAAGTGTAAGCTCCCTGATGGCAGGCAAAGTGTCAGTTTTCACTTCTATATCCCCAGTACTCGGTGCCTTGAACACAACAGGTACTTAATAAACATCTAACACTACATGGAACTCAAGGAGATAAGACGCTATGCCAGTGCATTCCAACAACCAGCTTCATCTTTCTGCACATTTCTAATGCAACACATTCAGGCAACATCAGAGAGCTGTCAGTGTGACCCCATCCTGAAACTTTTTATCATTGTTTCTGTGTCCGTGTATATATATCATTCTCAGCATTTTTAAAGGCTAAGGTATACTATACAGCTACAGTAATCAAATGCCAGTAACAGCAGGAAAAGAAACTTGCTCAGTTTCTACATTATTCAAAGGAACCATGTCATCTCAGCCCCAACCTGGAAGTGTCCCACAGTTTGGGTCTGAGTCAAAGCGTAATTTGACAGAGAAGAGTCCCTTGCAAAAGAGCACCCTACGCTTTTCGACAACACACTCATCCCTTCCGTCGGCAGGGTACGTACCTTGCCCACAGTCGCCAGCATCAAACCCACATGACAACACGTTGCACGCCTGATCGCAGAACTTATCGGCGAGCCAAGAATTGGCACATCCCTGGTTACAGTAAGAGATTCCGCTTATTCCACCACCAAAGTGCCAGGGTGGCCCAACTGCCCCGCCGCCGTGGCCGCCTCCTGGAGCGACGTATCGACTGCCGCCACTGTTACCTGAAAGAGAAGAGCCCGGCTCTCATTATGCTGTTTTGAAAACGAAGTGAACTTATTTCTGTTTTCAGAAGTGACTTCCTCTCTGTTTTCCCTCCCCGATACTCATCTCCCACCTCTGTGTCTCTGCATTTGCTGGTGCCCATGCCTTGCACTCCCTGCTTACAGCTACCTCACAGAATCCCTCTTTTCGTTCCTTACGCAGCACCTTCTACGAAGCCTTTCCCTATCTGTCACGACTGCTAGAGCTCCCTCTCCCGGATGGCCCTGTATTTGTTCTTTTTAAATTTATTCTGCATACCCTTATTATCTGCATTTCTTGTGTTCCTCAATAGAAAGAAAGATCCTTGAAAGCAGGCACTGTTTCATTCTCGGACTGTGTGTCCCCAGGCCTAGGACACAGTAAGTACTTAATTAATAAGTGCTGGCTGAGCCATGAGTATACACACTCCCTGGGGACAGTGGACACAGTGCAGCAGAAAGAGCCCCAGACTCCAGTCCTGGCTCACGGGGGTGCCGGGTGTGCGGCTACACCAGATCCCTCTGGAGTCTCAGGTGTCTCCTCTGTAAAGTGGCTGTGACACCTCCATTCCCTTATCTCGCCAGGCTGCTGGAAGAGTGTGCATCTCTGAGCTGTTTTGCTGCTCCGTCACGTCAGCTGCGTCTGACTCTCCATGACCCCACTCGGTGGATCCAGCAGAGACGCTGGAGTAGTCTGCCATTGCCTCCTCCAGCTCATCTGACAGATGGGGAAACTGGGGAAAACAGGGTCAAGTGACTTGGCCAGGACCACAGCTGGTAAATGTCTCAGGCCAGACGTGAACTCAGGTGCTCCTGACTCCAGCCCAGGCGCTCTATATACTGCGCCACCTAGCCACGCTTTGTAGGCCTTCAAGCCATGATGTTCTTTGAAAAACCAATCGCAGCAATTTGGGCTTCACATCTGAGGCATTCCACATTTTACTTCCTTTAAATAAGCAAAAAGGTCTCTCAGATTCCACGCTGACCCAGGGAAGATGCCTTCAAAGTAAGGATGAGACTACAGCCCAGAGCAGTGCTCTGAATAACCGTACAAGCCCTCATGCTGTTTGTTTAACGATTATAAATAACATCACGTAACTGCGCCTGCCCTTCTTACCAATGCAATCTCCTCCATCCCAATCACATGCTGAATTATTACAGGCCTTATCGCAGTACCCATCTTTAATCCAGGAGCCGGGGCAGCCCTCAGCACAGTTGGGAACGGGCCAGGTCAAATAGACCTACAGGAAGAGAAGAAACATTTTGAACTTCTAGGATCTCTATCCACAGGTCAGGACTCCAAAAAACTATCGATTGGACACTTGGAAAAAGGCAAGTGCTAGATGCTGTCAAATCTCAACTACCCAAAGGCTAAGTAGATGACAAACTTTGCTTCCAAATTCATTAATAGCAACTAGAGCATTTGGCTCAGCAACTTGTTCTGTTGATAGCCTTCCCTCCCTCCCTTCTTTCTCTCCCCCTCTCCTTCTCCCATCTCTCTCTCCTTGCTCCCCTCCCCCCTCGCCCCTTAAACTACGTAATTCCTCTGCCTGCAGCCAGCATCTCAGAAGTACTGCTTCTTGAAATCTAAACATTTAATGATCATCCTTGAGTCTAGAAAAACTGGGGTAAGCTCTGTTTCTGCCAGGGCTTTGTACCACTCAGAAGGAAGCTACCTCCTTGCAGTGAAGTGTCACTGTATGGGAAATAGACTGAAATACACTCCTCCTCAAGTACAGAATCCTACCTGCTGAAAGGAAGCTTGGCATCTGCCCTGGCCCAGACCGATCATCCCTGCCCAGCTTATCCACCTCTGACCTGCCCACTTCCCAAAGAGCTCATTCCACCTCTGGACAGCTCCACTTCCTCACACTGAACTTCGGCCTGTGTCCCTGTAATTGTGCCTCACTGGTGCCCTCTAGGGACCTACAGAGTAAGACCAGCTCATCCTCTTGCACAGGACAACCCTTCAGAGCAGACACAGACACCATGACTTCCCCGGCTCAGCCCAGGATGTGGTTTGAGTTACCTAACCGCCCCTGTCACCGGCCTTGGCTCTTCCACATTTCCCATGAAGGGTGGTTCCAAGATCTAAGCCGCTCTGCAGACACAGTCTCACAAAGTCTCTAGTTGCCACCAGAGCTCAGCCTCCCTGTGATTGGGTGGGGTGCTGCTCCGGCAGGATCTGCTCCCTCTTCTGGATGCTGCCTTTCCTTGAAAGTGGCGCACCATCTCGGGCTCCTTGGGAACCCTCTTCCTCCCTGACGCCAGCTTTACACGCTGTGTTTGAAGTCCACTAAGACCCCAAGGCTTTTCCCACTGATCTGCTGCCATCTTGTTCTGGTACCTGTCAGGTACCCACATGCAGGATTTCACATTTCCTCGTAAACTACATTTTGTAACAAATGGCCTACGGTTCTAGTCTATTGGGATCATAAGACAAATTTAGAACTGAGGGCATTTTGGAGGTCATTCCTTTCATTTTACAGGTGAAGAAATGGAGACGAGAGGTTTAACGATTCAGCCAGGGGCAGAGCTGAGGTGGAAACGCAGGTCCTCAGAAGCAGCCGGGCACTTGGACAGTGCTAATCCTGCCTCACACAAACTGTGCGAGCCTGGCCAAGTCATTTCATTTCTCTGCACCTCAGTTTCCCCATTTGTAAATGAGGAGGAGCCTCTATGATCCCTGCCAGCTCTAAATCTATGAGATTCAATGACTGAATCCCACACACCTCCCACTGCACCAGGATTAAGAAGGCCAAATGGGAAGACTCAAGGGCAGACCTTATTTTATTCTTGAAAACAATCACTTTTCTCAATCTCATACAGAAATCTAAAGGGTGGTTCTCCCTTAACTGGACAGGGAGATTTACTGATTCTCATCAACCTTGGTCTGGGGGTTCAGGTCTTAAATCCAAGATAACTAATTTCTGTGACTGTCTCGACCCAGTGAATATTTGTAGCCTCCCTTCTCTCTCATTTCTGTTTTGGAGATGTCAAAGGTTTCCTTCCAAATGGCATAATGGATCTTAGTAAGCAAGCTGAACAATGCTGGCCTCTCTGAGCTCAGATGTCCCCGTTTATAAAAGTGTGGGACAGGCCTATATCCCTAAGGTCCACTAGTTCTAACACTCTATGAATAGATGAATGGTTAATAACCCTCTAATACACAATGCAGTCTTGGGCTTGATAATGTGCCTAAGGATCAGACTAGAATTACAAGAGGTTCAGGTCAGGGTACTCCCTCTATGATGGGCATGGACCAGCAGGACTGCATCTCAACCAAAAATGAGTAAAAATAATCTGCTTCCATTTAATTCTTCCTAAATTCCCTCAGAGTAAAGCCTCATTAAAAAAATATACCTTTTTTCGCTGAAATTGAGACTGTTCTGGAAAATCTGTATGTGCAATCTTCTCTTGTGGTGGGTGAACACTTAGATGAAAGTTCAATATTAACCCTTTCAACCTTAAGATTTATCACAAATTTAAATAGAAACTCTTACAATAGCTAGGGAATTGTGATATTTTTCCAATTTTAAAAATCAGAGCTATTTTTCAATAACAAGTAATTTGCTTTCTACACGATAATTACTGGAATAACTAGAAAACGTGAATCTTTTTTTTTTTAAAAGAAGCCCATAGGATTGAAATTCACTGCTTTAAATGAAATGGTAGCTCTCTCTTTGGACAGAATGGACTTAGAGGATCAGGACACGAGTGGATGTCATAAGTACAAAAGATTTGGGAGACGTACATTTTCAGTCTTATGTCCTTTCTTTCTCTTTAATTTTCTGAGCGTTGAGGATGGGGTACCTCAAAGACTCTCTGCTGCTAACGGAGGATCTGACCCATCCATTCCTCAGCAGGGGGTTTCATTCATTATTATGGCAAAAAGCTGTTAGCTCATGCCCAGCATTCAGGCAGTGAGCATCTCACATGGTGTGGAAGTGACTCAATAAATAACTGATCAACTGACCTATGCTTTGACTTCACATCTAGGTGGGAACTTTCTTCCCAGCTTCACTCACCTTCTGACCTTTGGAGTGACTGTAAAAATCATCTGGCCAGACATCCTTCCCAAACATCACATCATCATTTAAGTAAATAAACTTCTGCGACAGCCCTTCAATCCGATGAATATGGCTTTCAATAGCAGGGGAGCTAAAGGTAGGCAAGTGACTCAAATTCCGAAACACCTCCTAGGAAGACAAAGCAGATAACGGGTTGGCTATCATTGCTATTTTATTGAAAGACTCTTTTGATACAAACAACACACTCCACGGTTCCCTTAGCGATTACTCGAGGACCAGTTTTCCTTGACTTACAGGAGACCCTTCTGCCGCTAAGGGAGGGATTCCCTTAAACTCCTTCCCTGCAGGGCAGCGGCATCTCCAGGAGGCCTCCCTCCTTCCTCACCTCCCCACTTGGGTCTTCCACTGTCTTTCCTAATTCTGGTGACCTGATGCCTGAATACCAATCACAGAACAGGAGATAAATTTCAAATTAGAATCCAAATGTGAAGACTGGCTAATGTGCACAGCAATTTGAGGTGACTGAGACCATCCTTGCGGCACAATATAAGATATGAAAAGGAAATGGTGGGCAGCTAGGTGGTGCAGTGGCTCTAGAGTCAGGAGGACCTGAGTTCAAATCCAGCCTCACACATGTAACACTTACTAGCTGTGTGACCCTGGGCAAGCCACTTAACTCCAACTGCCTCACCAGAAAAAAAATTACTTAAAAAAAAAAAAGGAAATGGCACAGAGGTGGGCTCCTGTGAGTGGGGGTGGTTTTACTCTCTGCCTCTGTATTCTGAGAACAATGCCTAGCATGCACCAGGCGCTTAATAAATGCTTGGTGACTGACCAACTGATGGGAGGATGTTTACCTGATGCGTTACTATAGTTATCCGAGGGTTATCAAGATTCAGCCAGGAAGGAATCTGCCCATTGGTTACGATGAAGATATTTCTCACCCACGGAGCGTGCTTCTCTATGGACCTCAAAGAATATCTCAGCTCTTCATTATCTTCAAAACGGCTGGCAGAAACATCCTCATCCTGTTTAGACTGCAAGAACCATTCAGCCTGTTAGGTTACCTCAGAGACGCTGCACTACGGAACTGACAAAGGAAGCTTCCCACAGACAGCAGCGCAGGGGCTATGACCTGCCTCCATGCGTGCACACAGCAGAGCCTGCACAGGGCAGCGTCCCATCAGGCACAACCAGATAACTCCCTCCCTGTCAGCTCTTTCCTTTCCCCACCCTGGCCTCAGGACTCTTCCTCCTATCTTGGTGACCCTGCTGCCCCCTTCTGAAGCTGGTATCTGAGGCAGGAACAGCACGGCAGCCTCGACTGAGGTGGGTAGCATGTGCCACACCCGTGGGATTTTTCATTTTTCTTTTCAGGCCCTTGACTCTCGTCACTGCTAACTTTTAAAAATCCCGCTCTGTTCCTTACCTGACTGATGGCACTGAGATCCCATAACAAGTAGGCAGGACTGAGCGCCAGCTCCTTGCCCTCAATGGTCATGTTCTTCTTAGCTTGTTTATTCAACTCCTGGAAGCCTCTGGGGTTATTCAGTTTCAGGAGGGCCACACTGGCTTCTGAATACAACTGCAGCTACACAGAAACAGAATGAAATCACCAGAAAGCTTCCAGGGGAAAAGAGAGGCACCGCAGACATTCCAAAGTCACATTTGCAGTGGACTTCCTCCGTACAGTCAACTGTGGAGGAACAACTGTCCCCCCAGAAAGGAACGCTGGAATGTCATCAGGCCGCCGAGTGGGCCTTGTGGCCACATACCAGAGGGACTCCTCCCCCAGGGGCTCCTGCGGAAATGTTCCGAGCGCAGAGAACACAACAAACCAAAGTGACACTCGGCTGCTTGCAGGCAAGGCCAGCGGCCTGCCAGGCAGCTCTGCGGTGGGCTCCCCACGTGGCCTGTACAGTGTGCTTCAATCAACGTCATAACTCACAGTCCTCAGGGGTGCAGCCAAACGAATACCGTGAGAGGTACCAGGGATGAGAGGCGGACGTGTGTGTGAGCTAGGGTCTCCAGAGGGGGACAAGTTCCAAACCACACCCCACAGGATAGGCCGGGCAGGGATGGAAGAAACTGATACTTACTATAGCTAATTGTCTCCACAAAATTCACAGCTTTCCTTTTCCTTCATACAAGTATATTGGTAGCATTCCTACTTTTCTCACCAGCCATTATTAGGTCATTTTAGGGACTCACAAATGAAATGAAAAGGGGGGAGATTTTCCTGAATTAATAAACAAAAGTTGGAAGAGAAATAAAAGAAGAGCTATGGGCGGTGGGAAATAGGGGAAGGAGGGACAGGCCATCAATCAATCAATCAAGGTAGTATGGATACCAAGCCCAAAAAACAAACAAAAACCAAAACCAAAACCAAAACCATGAGACGTGAAGGACAAGCTGGCCACTTCCTCCCCGCTCACGTCATCCTTGAGTGAAGACCCAGCACAACCAGATGCAATTTTCTGACCCATTAGCTCTTCACACAAGAAGATCGGTTCATGGCAATGAAATCAAATCCGTTACAGGAGACCTAGGCAGACCAGGTTTGTTTGGCAAGAATACTTCCAACCCAATCTCATGGGCGCTCCCTAGGAATTTAAGGAGGAAATAAAAGACCCACATAAAACTGTGAAAAAGCAGTATTGTGGAAAACAAAGTAACACATAAAGGTCACAGGGGAGCCGGGAGTGTATCCAGACATCCTTAATTTTTACAAGAAAATGAGAGGGAACAGGGCTAGGACAAGAACACCTAAAGGTGCTCCGAGACTTTTGGAAGCCTCTGTGTGGATAACCACAAGAAGTCAAGTCACATAATAAAAAGAGCTAAGTGTGACCTTATCTCCTGAGAGGCGGAAAGACGCAGGGCAAAGAACACAGATCTAGAGCCAGAAATACCTGTGATCGAGGCCAGCCACTGACCCCTGCTGGCTGTGGGTCCCTGGGCAAAGGACTTAACTTCTCAGGGGAAGTCGCAGTGCATGGAACATCTGGATTGCTAACGGGAGTCTTCTCCTCAAGTGTTCCTGACCCCAGTGGAGTCAAACTTGAAAAGAAACACATGAGGATGCCTGCAGGTCACAGACTGACCTAAAAATCTTATCTGTGTTGTACTGTATGATTATGTGCCTTGTTAAATATTTCCTAATTCCATTTTAACCTGGTTCAGGAGGGCTGTGGGCTGCATACAGCCCAGGCTGTGTGTCTGACCCCTCTGCCCACCAAGTCCAGTTCATGGCTCCTCCTCCCCTCCGCCCCCAAGTCACACTGCTGACTGGAATATGGCGATGGAATGGGGTGCATCTTGTTACCTCAAAACCCTAAAAGAGATTGTCAGGAGAATATGCTTCATAATCCATGCACCAGCAGACAGAAGAAGCACTGGGGTGGGGGCGGTATAAAGATAAATGCTGGCTTTAGAATTAATTAACTAGCTAATTAGAGGGTATATTTTGCTATTCATTAGCTGCATAACCTTGGATGAGTCCAATAATATCACTAGGCCTCAATTTCCATAACTGTACAATGAGAATTGTGGGGAGAGGGTAAATTAAATGATCTAAGGTTCCTTCCAGCTATAAATCTCATGCCCTATGGTAGTTGTATATAATTGTCCACTTAAGTGGAGGGGATAGACATTGGTCTCTGAATGTAATTAACCAATGGGTATAGAGACAAATGATGAGGAACTTCAGAGAGTCTGGTAAGTTCTTGAGTTGTCTGGCTTCAGACTTAATCTCTTGGGGTCAGCAAGGTGGCACAGTCGATAGAGCACCGGCCCTGGAGTCAGGAGGACCTGAATTCAAATGTGGCCTCAGACATTTACTAGCTATGTGACTTAACCTCGACTGCCTCCAAAAAATAATTTAATCTCTCGTAAGGACAAGGCAAAAACAAGGCAGGAAGGACTCTTACAAGGCACTGCATTCTGGCTAAGGAACCCCAAGTAACGGGCTAAAGCGGAGTGATGGGGAGTTCAGCAGAAAACAGTGCTGAAGCCGGTAACCACAAGAAAAGGATTCAGGGAATCCCTGGCACAAGGACCAGCACCAGCCTTTGGGACCCTGGGATGGCGGATTGCAAAAAGGTGAGAGGGGCAGTGGGGCACGGTGGACAGGAAGCTGTGTGCCCCTGGCCTTCACACTGCTGAGACCAGAAGGGATAGGATGGGGGCTATTCTGGAGTATTCCAAGGGGTTTCCTGACTGAGCCTCCTAGATCAATAAAATCTCAGGTTGGGAGAAAAAATGATTTAAATGGAAGATTAACTAAAAAAGGAAGAGAAGATCTGATAACTTCTATGGAAGTGACTTGAAACATGGGAATTCACTTAGCATGGAGCCTGACTTTGGTGGCCGAGCCCCCACTGCTCAGACTGCACCCCATGGTTCCTGCCTCCCTCCTCTGCTGCCTGCCCTCCCTCTTCTTCAGCCGGTCATATGGATGCCACGGCCTGGCCTGCTTCTCAGGGGGACCATGCTGGGGCTCTTCTGTTTCCCTCCTTGGCATCCTCACAGGCCCAAGGTCTCCCAGGGTCAGAGGAAGACCTCAGTCTGCCCTTCAGCCCTGAGCTGTTCCCCAGTTCCCGGCTCCTCCTGCAGCCCTGGCTCCAGCACTCATCCCCTTCCCCTCTCCACCAGCTCATCTCACGGGCCTGCAACATGCTCAGGGCCTCCCCTGTCCCATGAAAGCCTCTCCCTGAATCTCAGACCCGTCCAACCATGTTTCCTCTCTTCTCTGCTTCACTGCCCAAATCCTCAAGGGTACTTTTTCATCACTCTCCTCTGCTGCCAACATGCCAACCAAATGAGGCCACTCCCCACTTCCCTGGTGCTATACTTTCCCACCTCCCTGCTTTTGTCCATACTGCCCCCTATGCCTGAATTCCACACACCTTTTTATCTCCCAGCCCCAGCCTCCCAGGCTCCATTTTCATCTATGCTTCAAACTGGCCTGAACTGAAACGCCCCTGTAGCTCTGATTTCTGCTGTCACTGTCAGCAGTGGCCTCCTCTCCTCGGCCCTCCATAGCCTGCGGCAGCCTGTCGGTGTACCTTCTCTTGCCGCAGTCTAGATTACAGTGGGTGGGCCTTCATATCCCCCACTAGTCCTTAGCTCCCTAAGAACTAAACTTTGTGTCACCCCCAGCACCAAGCACAACTCTGTACACGGTGGACGCCTAGCCTCCCATCTTTCTAGAATCCACTTAAATCTTTGAAAAAGCACCAAGTTTTCAAGGAAAAGGCACACAGTGTCAGTGAGAGGGGTTCTCACTGGGTTCAAGTCTCTCCTCTGACCCAAATTGTGGGAAAGTCACTTCCACCTCTCAGTAATGATCTATGACTGAAAAAAGACCCTGCCCTGGTGGAGGGAGCACTTCAATGGGAAGAAATCGGGGGTACAGTCCCCATTCCCTTCACCCACACACACTCCTTAAGGAAGAAGGATTGCTTCCTTTCTGTTCCAATTCTTTGTGCCCCCCAGTATTCAGGCACAGGGCCCAGTACTTGTTTGTTGACTGATTCCCCCAAATCAGGTCTCTATAGGAGACAACATCAGCATAATTCCAAGACTCATCCGAAAAAAAGTCTGGGACTTTCTACAAAAAAGGAATGGGTGAAGCAGTCCTAGAATCCCCCTGCCTACAAGAGAGGGCTTGGCTACACTGTGGAAACTCGTTGAACATCTATAAATGTGAATGCAGAAAATGTCTTTGCATGTAAAAATAGAGCGCAGAACAAGGTGATCAAACAAGGTGATCGCTGAGGTCCATTCAGGGGTGAAAGCCTGTGATCACGCTAATGGTACCATCATGCGCTTGCACAAACACACACACTTCCTGGTTCCTTGCAGATCAGAACTGGGAGTCCATAAGAGATACATCACCTCTCTCTCTCTCCACTGAGCAGCATAGCCTAATCTGGGATGTTGAGAATTTTATACAATCCCCAATGACCCCACACAGAAAGAAAAGAAAGGCATATTGAAAGGAACCAGTGTGGCTGCCAGGTGAAATATATCCCAGAATCATCCCATTTCAGGTCTGAAAAGAACCGGTATCTAATTCAATGCTGTTATTTTGCAGGTGGAAGAAACTCAACCTCACAAAAGTGGCTTGCTATTTGACCAATGTAATGTGACAAGTAGGAGGCAGGGCTGGGCTAAGTACCCACGGTCTGGAGTCTTTGCCTCCAAGCTGGGTAACAGCCCTGATGGGCTCTATCTTTTGTGGGAGGCATTTTTTTTAAAGGGGGGGAGCATAAATAACCTAGGGGTGATGAAAAAAGGGGCACAAGCTTTTACAAAAGATGTTGGAAACAAGCCATGGTTTACCAAATATGTGGAGGACGAGGCAGAAGGCTGACTCAGCTATGTCCTGACCAAGATAGGCAGGAAAGAAGACACAGATGCAATGCCCAAGACAGGTAGTGCCAGGCTAACAGACACAGGAAAGTAAGCCTGATAAATTCTGACTCTGAGCTGAGCTTTTCTCTGAAAGAGAATGACCTGAAAACTGGGAAGTAAAGAATATGCTGAAAGAAGGGAGCAGAGTCCAAGATAAGGAGGGAGGTGAGAGAAAACCTCCAGGCCCAAATGACTTATAATGAGAGAGAAATGGGGGATGTTATATAGGGAGCTGCTATCTCCCATCTCAGAAGCATCACAAAGAGCAGAGGCTGTCACAAGCACCTGGAGACTGGCAGTTTTTGTGTCCATATGAAAAAGGGGGATAAATGCGGACCCCACAAACAATAACCTGGTGGTCCTGACATGTGATTCACTCTAGAGAAAAGTTCTAGTTACTAAACTGGGGGGATGTGAACACTTTAAATAGAGAAAGGAAAAGTAGCAGATGTAGTTTCACAAAGAACTAACTTCCGTTTCTTTTTGATGGGGTCATTTAAAATTGGGAACTGATTCTCCTGATAATTCTTGGGCATAAGATGAGAAGGGTGAGCTGAAGCATCATGGCACCACCAGGAGGCCCCCAGTGGTTTATCAGTTCACCTGGGTGTGGCCACTGTACTTATCACTCATTTGGAGGAATATGCAGGTCCTGGGCCCATCATCACACCAGCAGATGAAACAGCATTGGGCACTGGGCCTAAAGAACTGGGCAATGTGCCTTACACTCACACAGGTACTTACATGCATGGTTATCCCTTCATTTGGTGATCATTACAACCTTGTAGCTCTGATGCTCACACTAAGCCAGCTTATAGATGAGGCTCACGTACCTCATCCTGACAGGTCAGAAAGAAGCACTGGGAGTAACCAGATGGAACCTAAAGGTGCTCACTAAAGACCACTTTGGTTGTGTAAACACCAGCTTTGTTCCCTGACCCTGCATCCCTGCCAGCTTTGTCCTGCTCCAAGCTTTCAGCCCAATCAATGCAAAGAAAAAGAAGATGCCATAAGCCCCTGCTCCACAGACAATTCCAAAGCGAGTGCCCTGACTCTTCTGAGCAGGCCCCTCTCCCACTCCTTGTGGCTAGGGGTCCATTTAAGCAAACATGATCACTGGGTCTCTGTTGTGCTGCCTTGCACACCCAGCATTGCTCACTACAACTCTCATGTGGCACCATCCCAATCCACACACTAGGATGCACTGAGCCCTTGCCTGGCCAGCTACTGCTCGAGCCCTGCCAAACACCGGCCGCTCCACCCACCTGGCTAGACTGCCCATCACCTACAGAGGACACACAACTATCCCTCCTTGACATGTTTGCCTAGGCTCTGGTTCCAGTAATTCCCAGAGTGGCCCATCTTTGGCTTCTGAGCTTTCGCTCTGACAGGTTCAAAACATCAACCCCACAAGTGTAGAATGGGGAAGATTGACTTAAGAGTTCATGAGAGGAAAAAAAGAGCTAAATACAAGTTTTACTCAACTCCAGAGTCTGGGAAAGCCACCAGTGACCCATGGCTGCCAAGAAAGTAAATCCTGGTGTAGACCTCGCCATCTCCTCTGCCTGTCATCCCCTGGGCTGTGCTGGGCATTCTCTAGCCTCGAAAGTTCCCTGTCCATGAAATGCTCCCCAAAAGGTCACCTCCTCCCTGAAGTCCTCCCTGACCTGGGGCAGCTTTTTGGCAGCCTTTCCCATCTGATGATTTTCAGCGCTGCTTTTCAACCCTCTTTAATGCACCTTCCGCAGAGGTTAACACGAAATTATGAAACTGGAAGCCCCTTGAGGGAAAGGACTTTATCTTGTTCGAACTTGGAATCTCCTCGGTCCTGAGCCCAGCCCCTGTACACAGCCGATGCTCACTTTTTTGTGTTACTGCAGTAACACAACTGACTCCTCAGAGAGAAACAAGCACGGGGTCCTGCCTACTTCTGTGTGTGCGTGCATGTTTGTGTGTGCACCCACACGTGTATGTGAGAGTGGGGGCTCAGTGGCCCTGACCCAATACTGTCAGCCACCGTCTTTAAGACACTTGCCTCTCAAAGCAGATCCCCTTCCCCGTTCCAATCTATTCTGAACACACAGTAGGAGAGAACAGTGTATAAAGAAAGGGTAAAGCAGAGCAGGCCCTAGTAACCCGCCCACCCCACACACGTGCACACACACGAACACGGCACATTTTGGCTGCTCCCAGACCTTTACTCGGCGTCCTTCCCAGTTCTGGACCCCGTTTTAGAGAGCTGCGGTGACCACGAGACCCAGGACTGAGGCTGGGGAATCTCCACCTCTTTACCTGGACCCACAGTCCATCCACTGAGAGGGCTCGGGCCAAACGATGTTCTTTAATTTCAGAATGAGTGGCAGGTTCCTCCTCTATTCAACTGCCCTCTCCTCCAAATCCTTACCAGTGTGATTTTGGAGGACAGGTTCTCTGGGAGCTTTGCCCTCAGCTGCTCTGTTTCCTTGAATGTCGGTGGAAATCCGCTCAGGAAAGCCAAGTCACGCATGAGCACCAGGCCCGGGACTTCCTTGTCTGTGGTCTGAAAAAAGGCAGAATACACACAACCCAATTCTCTGGCTTCTTACACTTCAGAGCTGCATTTGTGACCCATGGAGAGGACCTCCAAGGTGAGAAAATGAATAAAGAGCTAACTTTTTATAAGCCTCAGAGTCACAATGCCAGAAACAATTTAGGTTAATACTAGCAAACCAGGGAGATGAGAAGATCCTCAAAGTCTCAGGGCATTTATCACTGATGCTGTTACAGTAAGTAACGTAGGTAACCTACCAGGTAGCCCCTCCACACAGACTGTTTGCCGGCATCTTTTAACATTCCAGCCTGGGCGTCTTCAACTACAAAACATAATTATGATATGTACTGAGAATCCACTCTGTGCTGAACATACAAAACAAGTGTAAGACATGATAATCTTTGGCTTCAGAGAGCTGATAACCAAGCTGGGGAGGCAAAATCAAGATGTAAAACTGCTGGGAGTGAGGGAAGGAAGGTTACCAGGCCTGCAACGGCGGTCGTGGTGGACTGTCTTGCACTTGGGAGGGATAAGCTAATCATGTGTTTGGAAAGTGTGTGCAGAGTTCAGATTGTGACAGTCCTTTGGAGAAGTTGTTCCCAGTATAAACAGGTGGTCAGTAATGGAAACCTGCCAGTTCCAATGGAAAATCCCTACAAGAAATCACACAAAAGATAAATCTTGTGTGGAAAACCTGTAGGTTACAAGAATGTACAGTTTTTGTCCCGGTTTGTTTCTCCATTCACTGGATACATTTATGGAAGATACACAAAGGCTTATGTGGAAAAAAAACACAAACAGATTACAAAGGCTATTAAGTGGGCTCAGATAATGAGATTTATAATCAGTTACTTTCAAGGATCCTGAATATCTGAAAGATCCCAAAATCTGTAACATCAAATACTGAGAATAAAGCTAGTACCAATAAAACTTACTTGACAGTTAAGAAAAAAAAGATATAAAATCGCTCTGGGACAAGACAAAACAGTATAGACCGAGTAAAGAGTTGAGACCCTGGGGGCATCTGCAGGGGCCAGAGCAGTTTGGGAAGGCTTGGAGGAAGGGGTCAAGAAAGTCTTTTAAAGGAGGGTAGGGCTTTCAAACACAGGCAGAACAACAGCTAAATTACAGCAGTGAGAAACTAGGGAGCATCTTATATATTTAGGGAGGGGTTCAGATAAAGGTAGAGTGGAGGATTAGGGGATAGGCTAGGGGACCAGAGCAGTCGTTTTGTTGTTACGGAAAACTCCAAGGTGATGAAACTCCCTCTATCAACCTCAGAGAGGTCCCAAGGGCACCAAGAAGTCCAGGGACAGACTGGCCCAAGGTCACATAGCCAGGATGGCTCAGAGGATCTTCACATGCTCTCTAGATGAGGAAGCATTCTGGAAGCCAAACAAAGCAGTTGACACTTCAGACAATAGACAGACAATGATCAAAGAACCATAGATTTAGAGCTGGGAGGCATCTTCAGTGCCATTGGGTCCACTCTCCTTAATTTTACAGATTTAGAAACTGAGGTCCAGGGAGAGATCACAGAATCACAGATACGGCACTTGGAGGAACCCTGGAGGCCAACATCCAGTCCTAAGAGGAAGTGACTTGTCCAAGGTAGTGACACAGGTAGGAAATGGCAGAGATGGGATCTGAATCCAGCTCTGACTCCAGACTTCCTATTTCCCCAAGCTGCTTCTCTTTTCCAGACTCTTACATTTTGGAGAGTGAAACAAAGGAAGTAAAGTTTGGGGAAGATGAATCATGACATGAGCAGGAGTGTGTACGGCAGATAGAACTGGCCTCATAGTCAGGACACTTGGGACTCCAGTTCCGCCTCTCACAAACACTGGCTGCACTGCCAGTATTTACTTGGTTTTTTACTTAATTACTTAACCTTTCAGTGCCACAAGCACTCTAAGGAAAAAGTCCATCTCCTTTGGTAAAGGTGGCTTCCTCACTGAGATCCCTAAGACCAAGAAAGCACAGACCCAGACCAAAGAAACACAAAATCTGAAAATCCTGTGCAGGATGATTCGAGGGACAAGGTGGTCAAGGGTATAGACCAGGCCTGCACAACACATGGCCCACACACCACTTGCAGCCTGATAAAGGATTTGGGCGGCCTGCGAAAAATGAGAGGATGTAAAAACAGGCCCTTGAGGCCTGAGGGCGGTATGTTGTGCAGGCCTGGTATAGACACTTACAGGAGCAGTGGGAATGGAGAACAAGGAAGAAATGCAAGACATTTAAAGGAAAGAAAAGCCAGAATTAAGGGACGGACTAAGCGGGTTGATCTGAGAACTCGGAACTACAAGTTTAACTAAAAGTGTTGAATTCAGATAATCATCCCTAAGTTCTCTTTGAACTCAATAGTCAATAATTCAGAATAATTCAAGATTGCATTAAATTAATTTCCCACTTGGATGTTATCCTGATACTTCAACCCCAATCACAAAACCACAGTTACTTCTGTCTCTTCAAAAGCTCGAGGTCTTTCAATGTCAGCTGTGCCACAAAAATCGATACAGAACACGATCTGCTTCACAGACCTAATAAACGCTAACTTAACCATGAGCTCTCTTTATGTCCCAATAAAACCTAAATAGGGGATCTCATTTAAAGCAAACTCGAAAATTAAAAATCTGAATGGATAGAAAATACAAGATTTCTTTACAGTATAATTCCTCAAACAAACTTAAAATAGGATTTGAGCTGCAAAATTTTGTTCTACCCAGAATGAATGAAGGATGAGCTTGGGTGAAGTCGGGTAAGACCTGTTTTAGAAGAGCTACAAATCAGGACACGATAGCTGCCTCTGAGGATTTAAAGAACTATAACCTCCACGATTCAGAACTATGAAATTCCTCTGGGACCAAGATGCCTCCCTCTGCTCTCCAAGTTCAAGATCCCTCCTTGGACCAGGTTCTACTCTTTAGAGTTCTGACCCTACTAGCACCAAACTAGTCCTCCACTATTCTCAACCCCTGAATCCTTTGCCTCTTTCCCCATTTTATCCATCACTTAGTCAAGCCTCGACCCTAAGAATGTTAAAGGGTACTGCAATATCCACTGGGCCCATTAACCAATTTAGGTAATCTAATTTTAACTGGGTGCTCACCACAGTATATTAAACTACAGCTTCTTAACCTGGAGGAGTCTAGACTGTATTTTCGTAGAATTGGGTTTTTTTTGTAATCTCACACAAACACACACACACACACACACTTTTTTTACACGTTTAAAACCATGAGTAAGAGAAGGCAGCCATAGGCAGCATCAGACGGCCAAAGGAATCCAAGGCACAAAGGGTTACAAACTCCGCCATTAAATCCTCTCTTCTTTCCAGGTTAATTCTCTACCAAGCTGCTTGCAGTCCCTAGTCCAAGCTTCATCTTCTCTTCTCCATTCCCACTTGATAAAGAACTTGGACTCTTCATTGAATGAGAAGAGAAAGGCCATCCACCACGAGCTCCTTCTCCCATCTTCCATGCTCTGGTCCCTCACAACATGCCCTATTCTCTCTTGCTGTGCATGCCAGACAGGGCCATCTCATCGTCCTGGTCTATATCTGGCCACTGGACCCAGATGGCTCTGGAGGAGAAAGTAAGGCTGGCGACCAGGCGCAGCCCTCCCTTGCTTAAATCCAACTCACTTCTAAGTCCTGGCCTCACCCCCCCAACATCAAGGTCCTCTTAGAGTACAAAGGACAAACAACAACAACCACCATGCCCAGGGATCTAGATCCCAGCCCCTGGACACCACGAAGCGATCGAGCCCCCTTTACTTCTTCTCCCTTCAGCAGCCGAGCTTTCCGAGCATCACGCAGGCTTGCTGCCTCCACTTTTCTTACTTCTCAGGCCCTCTCCAGCCACTGTCAGGCTGGCTGTCTCTGCTCACTCCAGGGTTACCAATGAGCTCTTTGCTGCCCAATCCTCTGGCCTTTTCTTATTCCTTGTACTGCTTTTAGCACAGTCTAGAAGGGGCACACAGTACTTCCATGAATAACTAGAACATAAAATAATGGGGGGAGAGGTCATTACCACTGGGGGGAATGGCAGTGAAACCAGGGAAGTTGGCAGGAAGAAAGCAGAGGGCAGGGCACTCCACAAAGAGGACATTGCGAATAAAGAAATACAAGGCCAAAACAGAAAAACGTACAGTTCAATTTGGCTAGAGTATGGAGTCTAGGAAGGAAAGCATATGAGGTTAGTCTGGAGAGGAATTAGGGAGGAATTAGGAATGTCTTGAATGACAAGCCAAGGAGTTTAAATTTTGTTCGGTAGCCAACAGGTGGCCACTATTGGTCTGAGACAGAAGTACATGGGAGGATAATGTGGCAGAAGTGTGAAAAAGGTTTGGCACACGGACAGAGCAGAAATAGGAAGTCCCATCAAGAGATTCTCTCCCTTGGCAGTCTCACCTTATGACTGGGATGACTGAAGTAACAAGGTCAAGGATTACATTACATTAGGAGGAACTGGAACCCAGAACCCAGGTGAAGAGGTCACATGAAAAAGAATGTAGCAAAGTGGCCAGAGCTCTGGACTTGAAATAAGGGACACAGGAGTTTGAATCCCCCCTCTGACACTTGCTAGCTGTGCACCCATCGGCAAGCCAATTAACCTGAGACTTGTTTTCCTCCTATATAAAATGGGAACAGTAATACCCATAGAGGCTAACTTTATAAGGCTCTTGTGAGGTCCAAATGAGACAATTTCTGTAAGATGATATATATAAACAACAATTGTGGTTATTATTATTATTATTATTATTAGTTATTAGCAAGGAAGATGGCTTCCTCCTCCTCTGAGAAGGAAAGGAAGGAGGAAAGGAGAAGTGAGAACACAAAAGACTTTGGAAGAAGGGAGGAGGGGAGTTTTAAGTGCTCACGTCAGACGGCTTTGATATTCATCTGTAAAGCAAAAGACTAAGGTCATCTGCAGAGGGCAGGGGTGGGTAGGTGAGACGAGGGCTTGAGGAGCTGTGGGAAACACTCCACGACTTGGTCAACAAGAAACGAATCAAAGAGCTGCCTTGCAGCAGTGAGGGGTGCAGCCATGCAGACACATTTATGTGTTGAGGGTGGGCGGAGAGAACAAAATACAATGTTTTTGTTGTTCATCCATTTCAGTCATATCCAACTCTTCATGACCCCATTTGGGGTTTTCTTGGCAAAGACACTAGAGTGATCTGCCACTTCCTTCTCCAGCACATCTTACAGCTGAGGAAACTGAAGTAAACAGGGTTCAGTGACTTGTCACAGCTGGTAAATGTCCAAGGCTGGATTTGAACTCCTGTTTCTTAACTCCAGGCCCAGTGCTCTATTCACTGTACCGCCTGGCTGCCATACACAATACAAAGGTCAGCAGCAGATCTCTAAAAGGTGAGGTTTTAGGTAACTCTGTATCACATGAAATACAGCATGGCACCATGGAGTAAGAAGAATTGGGTTCAAGTACCAGCTTTGACACACGCAGGCCATGTATGTGACCCTAAATAAGTCATGAACACTCATACCTCTGCTCTAGACCAGTCTCTAAAACTCTTAAGTTACAGAGAAGGCCCTGACCTTCATTAGTAAAAGAAGTTTCCTTATATGAAGAAGGAAACAAGCAATTATTAAGCACCTATGGGGTTCCCTCCAGCAGTGAGATCATGGGCCCAGGTCCAGGTCCATCCTTACATAAAATCAACTAAATTATCTCTCCCTAAGATGGAACTGAAAGCACTAGCTTTGTTTCTTTTTAATCACTTTCTAAATTTTCTAAATCTGCAATTCATTCAATATGCAAAGTATTTTAATACAAATACCAAACAAGTGATCATTACATTTTTTTCACACCCATAAAAAGGAGCTTACCTTCCTTCTGACTGTCAAAAACGACAACAGAAACATTAGTTGATGGGTTTTTGGGTTTTGCGACAAAGAATGTGTCACTTGCAGACTGCAGAGAAGGATAGATGGATGGCAGCTCCTTCAGACTGATGTTGGCGGGCAGGGCGGGGTCCAATACTAGCATGGGCACTTTGATGCAGTGCGTCAGCAAACATTCTAACTGCTTTTCACTGGAAAGAAATGCCAACATTCCCATTAACAGCCTTGAAAAACCAATCTGGCAATGAAAATTGTAGTAATGCTGCCAAACACGGCTGCTTTTTAATTGTATCCTTTGAAAAGTCAGGATGTTTTAACACACGAGCATTTCTCAAGAGCACAGGAATTCAAGGAAATAAAGACAACTTGAAGCTACAGCTTCCTCTCCTTATCCCCCAGAATAATGAAACTAGTTACCTATATGAATTAACATTTTAAAAATTATTCTTATACATTTATTCATTGTAAGTTGTCAAAGAAACTAATCATTCACGTCCTTACAGTGTCGAAGGCTTGTAAAATACAAAAAAAATCCAAAACCCAACAACAAAACAACAACTGCGTGTGCAACATCATTATCAGCAACTGTGCGCAAGCTAGCCCCATTCTGCAGATGTGGAGTCTGAGGCTGGGAGACCAATCCCCTGCCCATGGTCGCAACATCAGAATAAACAAAGCCACATCATTGTCATCACGGCAAGGCCTCCTATTTCCCTTGGCCTTTCTAGAATACTCGCTTACTGATTCCAACTCCTACCTCTCCATCCCTCCCCCAAACAATGGTTTTCCCATCAACCTGAGGCCAGAATATGTCCCTGGACCATGATGTGACCAAATCCAGTAGCGTCAGTTTCATAAATTGCAGGAGATTTCACTTTGTGCGCTCAAATACGTACTGGCCAATGCACACAAGTCATAACTAATATGTAATAATAAAATATTATTTTTCAACTCTTATTCAGAGAAAACTGATAAGTTTACCTTTTTTTGGTGGGTTCTGTGGAGTTCTTCCCAAGGAGTTCTCTAAATAAAAACAATAAAATTAAGGTCACCATAGAATATGTACAAATGGATGAGGAAATTCAGCTGGTGTCAGATAGGAGACATGTGGACAGAAACAGAACGTCTGAAGAGCCAATTGTGAGCAGTTAACGATGACCAAAGATATTCTACCATCCCTTATGTCAGTCAGTCAGCAAGAATTTATTAAGCACTTACTTTCTGCCAAACACTAGATAATAGCAAAAAATCACAGTCCCTGCTCTTGGGAAGAGTAAATTCTACTGGGGGCAATAATACGTAATAATATGTCTAGGAGCATATAAGATACAAAGTATATGAAAATAATCTGAAAGGGGACAGCATGAGCAGATGGCAGGGACCAGGTCTATCTCCTGTAGAAGGCAGGACTTGAGCTGAGTCTCAAAAGAAGTCAAGGAAACTTAAGAGACAAGTGAGGGGGCAGAGAGCTCCAAGCCTGGAGCTGAAGAGCTGGAAATGCCCAATAGGAGTCTGTGTTTGATCCGGAGGTGATAGGGAACCACCCAAATCACTGACTAGGAAGGTAATGATAGGCCTGTGCTTCAGAGAGATCACTTTGGCACCCGGAGAGGGGAAAGAGCTGAAGCAAGGAAGCCAGTCAGAAGGCCTACACAGTCACCTAAGCAAGAGGTGGTGAGGGCCTCAACTACACAGTTCTAGCTATGTGATCTGAAAGAAGGAGAGACAAATGCGATGCTTTGAAGGAAGGAACAACAAGATTTGACACTGGACTGAATAGGTGGAGTGAGCATGAATGAGGAGTCCAGGAAAAGGAATGCTCTCCTCTTGTTTAAGTTTTTGCAAAGCTGACAGTTTTCAGACAAAACCTGAAAAACTTGAGTAGTGATATCTTATAAAATTGTTTTCATGCTCAAGCTAATCCTATTGTAAATACACATACTTAAAATACATGAACCCCCCAAAGCAGGACAACTTCCTCGAGAGGCCAGAGACTAGATCTGGCAGAATTAAAGTAACTAAAAATTAACTGCTTTCAACCTCAAAAAACACCTGTTTAATTGAAGAGAACTAAAATCTTTATGTATATAATAAAATAAATAAGTAAAATAAAATAAAATAAAATCTACATAGAGTGATTTCTTCTTTAAATGCAACAACTCTGAAAAGGGAACGGATGTGTTTACAACATTATCTCTCTGGATGCCGACAAAAGGCTTCTGGGGGGGGTGAGAGGAGGGGGCCCCACTCTTACCTCATTGCTTTCTGTTCTTCCTCCATCTGTTCTCTCACCTGCCGAAGTTCTTTAAGCAGTTCAACATCAGTGCCATTTACCCAGGTATAGACCACATCAATGGGCATGGGCAAACAGAGCCTGAAGGAGAAAGGCCCATACAACATTGGAGATTGAATTTTCTACATGGATTACAACAAAAACTTCCAAAAAAAGTTTGAATAAACAAGTTATAAAAGCCTCATGACTATGTTTCTCTAAGTGTCTGCTGGGCAGTGATGAATTCCACTTGTGAAGTACCAAATATATACATTTTCAAAAACAATGACACTTCTTTAATTTAAGTCAAACTGGGGAAAGACCTATCTGAAGTAGCAAAAAGCTGAAGATTTTAACCAAAAGGGTTAGCATCCTGAGGCCATCGATTTAGAGCTGGAAGGGATTTGGTTTTTGTTTTTACAGTCTCCACAGCCAATAATTTACATAGAAAAGATAAATGGGAGAGGAAAACTTCCCCTCTAAAAAAATTCATAAGGTAGTCCATTTAAATAGTAAGCTATCCACTGTATTTAGAAATATTTAATTTATGATCAATCAATTTAAAGCGCTACAAGAAAGACACAGACCCTTGGCTAAGAAAGTATGCAGACCCTGGCCGCCAACATTGATGAAGAGAGAAAAATGGAAATGGGCAAAATAATTATTTGAATGTATACGGGCTCTTCTAAAGCCCTTAAAAAGTTTTCAAGTCGAACAGGCTCATCTAAAATTCTATAGATGCTTTTTCATTTCTCAGTTGAATCTTTTTTTCAAAGAGAGCAGAAATCTTTTTTCTAAATTATCACAAATGGCAAATTAGCAGCTTCTCTGGCCTACTTCTGAATGATTATAAAAATACAGCTCATACATTTATGGTGCTTATTTCTTACTGTCACATTAAGGTACTGAATTAGGATCTAGAGCAGGGGTTTCTTCACTTCTCCTGGGTCACAAACCCCTTGGGCAGTCAGGTGGGTGAAGCCTTTGGATAGACCCTTACTTAGAATCATGCTTTTAAATGCACACAATACATAGGATTACAAAGGAAAGTAATTATATTAAAATAAAAATGTAATTGCTTTCTCCCATCCAAGTTCATGGATCTCCAGAAATACCCCTTGGAGTTCTGTGGATACCAAGTAAAGAACCTCAGGTCTAGAGGAAGGTGTCCAGCCCAGTGGGTACACTCCCATAGAGGATTTGTGGAAGGACGTAGACAAGAAATGCAGAATCAATCAATTAACAAGAATTTATTAAGTGCTTGCTCTGCACATAGAAGAAGGTGGGGCCGCTTTACAATCTACCTATGCAGTTAAAGGACAGGTAAAACGGACCAAAGATCATGCAAGAGTTATACCGTGAATAGCTAATTACTATTGCACAGCCCTAAGAGATGAACAATTTCCTGCCAACTATGGCATAAAAAGGAAACACTGGGATACAAAGTACTCATTCTCTGATGAGAGAGAAAGAAAGGAGGGAGGGAAAAAGAAAGAGAGAAAGAAAGAAAGAAAAAGGAAGTTAGAAAGAGAAAAAGAAAGGGCCTTTCCCTTCTTTCCTTCTCCCTCCCCTCCTTCCTTGCTGACCACTATCACCTCTGCCTCTGCCTCAGGAGGAGCTCATCCATCTCAGCAATGAGTTCTTGCGCCTCCACATTACTGTGGGAGAAGAACTCAAGGAGATAAAACAAGGGACTGGCTTTTCCCACAGTCAAATCACCCATCTCCACAGCCGGTTTACCAGCCTGGACAGAGGACAGAACAGTACTTTCAACCGGGAAGACGTCCAGCAGATTCCAGAGCTTGCCATCAAGCCCCTGGGGGATCGCATCATCAATGCCTTCTTCACTGAGGGAGAGGACCAGGTAAACTTCTGTGGAGTCATGAGAGTTCTGGCTCACTTCCGACCAATCAAAGATAATGAGAAAAGCAAAGATGTGAATGGACCAGAGCGCTGAACAGCCAGGGCAATAAACTACACTTTGCTTTTCCATTATATGACTGGGACAGAGATGAACAGATTTCACAAGATGAACCATTACAGGCACTGCGCGGGACGGCTGGAGGGAGTATTTCTGATGAGCAGCTGGGCAACACTGTAGAGAGGATGATCCAAGAAGCTGAACAGGCTGGGGACAGTGCCATACCCTTTTCAGAGTTTGTCAAGGTTATGGAGAAGGTGGATGTCGAGCAGAAGATGAGCATCTGGTTTCTTCGCTAACAGACTGGGACCAAATTGTTCCCGACTGTCTTGTATTTAAGAAGCAGAACTTGAGTCTTTCTACCTCACCCTTCAGGGCCCCTTCTCTCCCTAAGTTGCAAGACAAGCCCTGCCCTGCTTGTGCCAGCACACACCTGTCAACCTTGGTGCTACAAGCAGGTCACTAAGGAATGATTCCTGCTCTCTTCCACTTCTCCCTCCATGGCTCTCCATATATCAACATCGCCTTTCCTTTCTGTGCTGCTGTCAGCTCTAAATCCATCAGCTCGAGAAAGGGAGAGAGAGGGAAGCACCATCACCCAACCCCCATCCCCAAAGAGCCAGCAAAGCCCTTTCCCTGGATGGAGACTGGAGCCATTTGTATGTTCTAGCCAGGTTTTAGCACACCTCGACTCTTTAATTTCTCTATCTGCACATATGTAACTGCACAGCCAATTCTTCAGTTTCGAAGTTCCTTTTTATTAAGCCTCACCCTCCCTTGCTCTTCCTTCCCCCAAGCTATGCCTATCACATTCTCACAACTCTGATTTGTCAGGGCTTACAAGATCGGTGAGATAGCTTGCCGTTTTTTAACCACCTTCCACTCTTAATTGGGATTCTAGGACATTGCTTTTCCTTGAAGAACAGAAACATTCTTGGGCTCCTTAATCTGTGTTGTAGCTCAAAGACTGCAGGATAGAGGCTCCTTACTGAAAGGAGTAGCCAAGATGACAGGCGGAGGTCAACCCCTCTGGGTCTGCTCGCTTCAGTCACCTCACCTCTGGTCTCTGACCCACATGATTACTCTTGTTAGTACAGTATTTACCCTTCAGGAACTGGCCATCCACCTGGAAATACACTTGATTTCTGGGCAGGTATTACTGGGATGGTGTCTATGGCGATATGTATGTGAGATTTCTCATGGGTCCTTGGAAAGGGAGGCAGGCTTAGTGTCCTCTGAGATCCTCAGTATTGATACCTACAGCATAGCTTACAGTTTGATATTACTACAATGAAGTATCTCATACTTTTGAGTGTCCAAGTAGACAAACTAGTATTAAGGAAGTGTCTAACTTATCCCAGACCAAGAGATTGTAAGACTGTCCTCAGTATCTTGAGCTCAAATTCTCTTTAAAATTGACATTTGCAAATTATTATACTGGAATTCATAGCTAGCTCATATTAGAAGTCCAAAGAGATGAATGCATTGCAAAATTAGCCTCCTGGTTAACTAGCTTCCTAGCTCCTCACATATATTGCAGCTGATTCTTCAGAAATGAGGGGTCTGGCAATGATCACAAATCCCGAGGTGGGTTTATAGGCCCTTGAAAAAAGCCAGAGCAATTTCCCTGCCAATGTCAGCTTAACTGAGACTTCCCTGAATCAGGCTGTGCTGTGCTAATTGTTGTAGGAGTTGATAATTTCTGTATCTGCCTTGGACTGGCTTTTTCCTGGTTCTTTGCTTGCTTATTTGCATCAGAAGACTGAGCAAGGTCTACACGGATTCTTTGAGAAGGCACCTTGCTGACCTGTCCTGAATCAGAATGCCAGCTAAAAAAGCGGAGTAGGGTAAGGAGGTAGTTAAGTGGGGTAGTGCAGACGCAAACTACCAATGACTTTCTCATGAGGGAATGAACCTAGATTACTGCTCAGATGCTGTAATATGGGAATTGTATAAAAGAGAAGAATTGGGTACCCATCAATTACGGAATGGCTGAACAAGCCGTGGTATATGAATGTGATGTAATACTACTGTGCTACAAGAAACGATGAGCAGGGTGATTCAGAAAAATCTGGAAAGACTTACAAGAACTGGTGTGCAGTGAAGGGAGCCGAATCAGGAGAACATTTTACACAGTAACAGCAACACTGCGATGATCAACTTTGACAGACTTAGGTCTTCTCAGCAATACAATGATCCAAGACAATTCCAAAGGACTCATGATGGAAAATGCTGTCCACATCCAGAGAAAGAACTATGGTATCTGAATGCAAATCGAAACATACTATTTTCTCTCTCTCTCTCTCTTTTTTTTCTTTCTCATGGTTTTTCCCTTTCATTCTGATTCTTCTTTCACAACATGACTCATGTGGAAATATATTTAATATGCTTTTACACGTATAGCCTATATCAGACTGCTTGCTGTCTTGGCGGGGGGGGGAGAGGAGAAAAAAATTTGAACTCAAAATCTTATAAAAGTGAATGTTGAAAACTATCTTTACACGTAATTGGAAAAAATACTATTAAGTGGGGAGAAAAAGGGAAGAATTGCCTGATGTGATGATCTGTTAGAGAGGTACTTTAGTGGCTTCACAACCTGCATAATTAAGGTTCTTAAGAGAAAAAATGAATGTTCCTCGTTTGGCTGTATAGCAAACTGTTTAATCCATGGATGTGCCTTACTGTTCCATTAAAATTGTATTCTTTAATCCATCAATAAATACTTGTGGTTAAAACAAAAAAAAAAAAGGAGAAAGGATACACCCTTGAGTTTAGTTCCAAGTAATCTTGTTAACAGACTCTCCAACCTGTTGTGGTCAAGATTAGATTGAATTAAATGAGAAATGAGTTTAAATGTAAAATCCCCCCTAGAAGAGTGAAGACCATTTAATGGTGAGCTTAAGGCATTTTAGTTTGAAGCTTTTAGTATCCCCAGGTTGTAACAGAGTATCAAACATACAGAAAGCACTCAATATGTGTTTGTTAATAGTGGTTTTTTCCCCACCTCAGACCCATTTTTACAGATAAGGAAATTCAGGCCCAAGGAAGTAAAATGACTCATCCAAAATTTGAACTGCAGTTCACTGCAATTCAGCAAAATTGTAAATATTCCATGCCATAGATTCCACACGGAGGTCAGGTGAAAAGAGATGCAAGGTCTTCAAGAATTAAATTTTGACAA